TTAATGATTTATTACTATGCGATAAGTCAAGATTATTTTTTGTGTAGTCTTCTGCCCCCTGTTATCAGGTACATAGGATTTTGAGCGACGTTTTTACCATTAAATTACGCAAAAGGTTTGAGAAACCGTACGTATCAAGTATGAAACGTTTGGCATTACAGGGTTAAACCCCACCTCTTTTCTTTGGCTTTTGACACCATATAGAGCGTTGATGTTATGTATATACATGCATATTTTTATCCTGTGCGGGCAGTGTTTTTACTTATTTATATTTATTTTAGTGTTATCTATTTATTATGTATATCTTTTTGTGCAGCACTTTGGAAACCTTGTGTTTGTTGAAATCGTGCTATATAAATAAAGTGGATTGGATTTTATTTTATTGCATATTATATTTAGCTTGATTTGTTGGAGTTTGTGGGGCTTCGGTGGGATGACGATCAGTTTTGGGTTTTGTTGTCTGTCTGGAGATCGATTTCCTTCATTTGTCCTTTTAAAGGTTAGAAACGAAGAGGTGATTCCAATTTAAATGGATTTTAAGTACATGAGCAGAAACACAAGTTCATGACAGAGTTCGTGAGGAGAGATGCATGATGGGAGCCCCCCAGAGGGAGGAGAGGTGCATGATGGGAGCCCCGCAGCAGTGTTTGGGGGCCGATGAGCCCCCCAAGTTGTCGCTGGTATCCATATTGGTCCCACTAGGCTGTGGTCTGTGTGCAGGACTCAAGAAGCTGCTCTGCTATCCGCCTGCTAACGAGCAGCTAACGGCCTGCTAACGGTCAGCTGTCGGTCTGCTATTGGCCTGGCAACGGCCTGCTAACGGCCTGCTAACGCTAACGACCGGCTAACAACCTGCTAGGGGGCCTGCTAAGGCCGGCTAACAGACTGCTATAGGACAGCTAATGGTCGGCTAACAACCAGCTAACGGCCAGCTATCGGCCTGCTATTGGATGGCTATCAGCCTGATAACGACCGGCTAACACTCGGCTAACAGACGGCTAACAGACTGCTAACGCCCTGCTAACGGCCAGCTATTTTCCTGCTATCGGCTTGCTAATGGCCTGCTAACGGACAGCTAATGGACGGCTAAGGGACAGCTAACAGACGGCTATCGGACGGCTATCAGCCTGCTAACGGATGGCTAACGGACGGCTGCCAGCAGGGCTGCTGCTCTTCCTCCTTTCAGCCTAAACGCAGTCAGCTGGGATTCCACGTCTTTCCCAGAACGGGGAACAAATTGTGGGACGTTTGAACCAAAATTTCGTCTGACCGCCGTCGCACCCCCCCCCCCCACCTCCACCGTCTTTTAGCTTCTGACCTCTGATGGAGCCCAAATGAGGGAACTGAGTGAGGAACCGGAGGAAACGATGGGAGGCCTTTTTAGGCCGTAACGGAGGGCTCCTCCATGCTTGAAGTGGCTCCTTCCAAACTCTGAAGGGGTAAACGGGGGGGGGGGGGGCTTCCTTTCTCCACCAGAGAGAATGGACGGAAGTGGTGTTAGGGTGTGTGTGTGTGTGTCTCTGTGTGTGTGTGTGTGTATGTGTGTGTGTGTCTCTGTGTGTGTTTGGGGGGGCAGACAGCTTTGCACGGCTGTTATTTTGTTTGGGAAACCCTGGCGAGGCCTTGGCCCGAGTTTGGCACTTGAAGACAATAACAGAAGCCGCATTCCTGAGTGTGGCGCCGCAGGTCAAAGCCGAGGTCACGAATAATTTTTTATTTTTATTTATTTATTTTATTTTCACAACAAAAACATAAAAATAGTATTACGTTTCACTAAAAAAGAAAATGTGCTGGACAACTGCCAAAAAACCCTCAACGGGCTTAATGAGTGGCAGTCTCCATAAAAACAAATATATTTTACAATTTGAAACATTTATATGATATTGTGTAAAAAAACAAAATAACAAAAAAACAACAATAAAAACAACATTTCTTTGTATAAAACAATTTAAAATATAATTTAGACCACAAATTCATGTGGAAAAAACTTAGTAGCAGCAATTTTACTCTCTGTTTAAATTGTTCTTTAGAAAGATCTGTCAGTGTAGGGAGACTGTTCCATATCTTTGATCCTCTGTATAAAACACTAAACTGTGTTTGAGTTGTACGAGAGTAAGGAGGTCTGATAATTCAATTAAATTCAATTAAATTTTATTTATGTAGCGCCACATCACAACAACAGTTGTCTCACAGCGCTTTCCAAACAGAGCAGGTCAGACCCTACTCTGAAGTTAATTACAGAAACCCAACAATTCCCACCATGACCAAGCACTAGGCGACACAGGCAAGGAAAAACTTCCTTATAATATAAGATAACTACTACGAGTTGGATACTGGTGAAATTCATTATTAACTCATTGACTGCCAGCCATTTTCAGAACAGGGTCCCATACTGCCAGAGTTTTTTGAGCATTTTGACTGATTTTTCAAGAGCCACAGAATAGTTTGTGCTATGACTATGTAAACACCGAACACACCAAAAGAAAGAGTAGACTCTCTACTAAAAGCGTTTTTACCTTATTCCGTTCTTCCTGGACTTGCGTCTCACCGGCGTCATAGCGAACCGTTACCTTTTTCTTATTTGCCTACAGTCTATGCTCATCTCCCATCAAAAGTGGCACTGCCCCATAGAGGGTCAATTTGTTACTACATACTCTGTCTAGAAGCCTGATATTTACGGACAAGCTTTAGCAGATCGTCCCCCAAGCCAATTTCGCTGAAAAACATAAAAGACGTCTATAGACGTCTTTGGCAGCCAATGAGTTAAAAGTAAAGATATTACAAAAGTGCTGGGGACTAATGAACTGCCAGTGAGAGGCTGGGAGCCTTTACTTCTGCCCCTCGCCGCCGCCGCCGTCGCCATGGAAACCGAGGGCCCGGTGGTCAGAAGTCGTGCTTGTTTGGGGGCTTATCTGTAAGGCAGAGCTAATGTTGTTTTCTCCTTTTTTTTTGTGCGCTCGGAGAAAGCCTTTTGTGTCTTTGTGATTCAAATGGAGCCTTTTGGGCTCTCTGGGGTTTTTGTTTATTTATTTTTTCTCTTAATAATCAGGCTTATTTGTGCGTTTCTTTGCTCGCCGCTTTTAGAAATTCTGAAAATGCGTTTGCTTCTTTTTGTTCTGGAGCTCTGGGAAACTTTGGGGTGTCCTCACAGACTCCTGTCCAGTGGGAAGAAGCTTTGAGAGAACAGACGCACCTTTGTTTCTGCCCATCAGCTCTTCGGAGGCTGGGGGTAAAGATTCCCCCCAATTTCCCCTCTTTTTCCTCCCGTTTTCCCCTCATTTTTCCCCTCATTTTTCCCCGCTTTCCCCTCTTTTTCCCCCTGTTTTCTCCCCCGTTTTCCCCCCGTTTTCCCCTGGTTTTCCCCTGGTTTTCCCCCGATTTCGGCCCAGTTTTCCCCTCTTTTTCCCCCCGTTTTCCCCTATTTTTCCCCCCGTTTTTCCCTCTTTTTCCACACTACAACGTCTGGAACGTCTGGCGTGGAGATTTAAAGGGACATCGTTTCGTATCTTAAGTATCTTACTAGCTAAAATAATTTTCTTCATTTATAAATAAAAATTTAGTGTGAAATGACCTCTTTAATGATCCCCATTTCCCCCCCCGTTTTCCCTCTGTTTTCCCCAATTTTTCCCCCCGTTTTCCCCTCTTTTCCCCCCCGTTTCCACTTGTTTTCCTCTTTTTCTCCTCTTTTTCCGCACTACAATACTCTGCTTTGCCTTCCCGTTGTCTGCAGAGCCAGGAGATAAACCTAAACCCACAATTCAGAATGATTTACGGGTTCTTCGAGAGGGAATTCAGAGCAGCAAACACAAACAAAGCCGACAGCAAACCTGCACAATCTGAAGCCTGATGTCCACAGATTTGATGTATCGGCCCAAATCAATACAAACTAAAAAAGTTTGGACTTATTGTACAAACCTATTTAACATCCACTATTTTAACATAATATTATGTATAGAGTTTAATTCAGTGTTTGCTAGATTAATGTCACTATTTTTAAATGAATGTCTATATTGCCATGAAGCAATTAAGATTTTTTTGCCTGGGCTCATCCTATTGGTGACCTAATCAAAATGGCCGACTTGGATGTGGGTGGAGTCGGATATCCCTCCTTGGCTTCCTGCAGTCTGCAGCCAGACGTATTTGCATTTTTAACCCCTTCCACCTACAATATGCCTCACGTGATCTTGTCTGCATTTAGATTAACCTTCTCAACCTTTTTTTAAAATGTTTTATCATCAGCCAAAACAAATAACTCAGCTTTTCAAGCCTGCATCTGCAAAAAAGAATTGATTCCTCTTATTGAACGCATTGACGTGGTATTTATTTAATCCAGAGGCTTTGTGCTCCATTCAAAGGAGCTAAACGGCAGCAGAAGTGAGGGCAGATTTCCCCCCCCAGCAGCTTTGATCAGCTCCGTTTTGCGACTAAACTGATTATAAAGTGTTCCAAATGTTTATCTGGGAGCAGAGGCAGGGATTAGGCTTTTTATGGGATTTCTGGCTGGGATTTGGAGCGACTCCGACCGCTCGATCGGGTGCGTTTCACCTGTTTCTCACTGAAAACAGCACAAATTCCTGCTGTATGCTGCTGTTTTCTCCCCGTTTGAACTCTCAGCTTTCATCTCATTTCTGAACATGGCCGCCGAATGTGGGGGATTCAGAAACTTGCCTCAGGAAGTGTTAAGGAAACGAGACTCCTGCGTGGCCAGAACTCAAAATACATCACTTTCCCTCAAATCTAGAAGTTGCGAAGGGGTTTGGAACGTCTGGCGTTGAGCTTTAGAGGGACATCGTGTAGTATTTTAAGTATCTTATTAGCTAAAATAATTTTCTTCATTTATAAATGTGTCTTCACTTAGTGTAAGTTTGCATCAGAAGAAGGTGTGAAATCTAAACAAGGTTTTGGGGAACCTGCGGCCAAGGTTGTCACGATACTAAAATGTTCAACTGGATACCGATACTCAGGAAAATATTCAATACCATTTTCGATACCACAAGGATAAAACAAAGACCCCAAAATTTAACAGAATTTGGACAGGTTAGTGTCTTTCGTTTCAAACTGACCTGTTACTGATGTTATGGTGGCCCACATTAATGACCCTAACCCTCACCCTAACCCTGACCCTAACCCTGACCCTGACCCTAACCCTAACCCTAAACCTAACCCTGACCCTAGCCCTAATCCTCCACCCTTCATAACTGTGAGAAATAAATATTTTTTGGTTAAACTTGTTTGGACTTATTGTACAAACCTATTTAACATCCACTATTTTAACATAATATTATGTATAGAGTTTAATTCAGTGTTTGCAAGATGAATTTCACTATTTTTAAATTCATGTCTATATTGCCATGAGGCTATTACGATTTTATTGCCTGGGATCTTCCTATTGGTGACGTAATCAAAATGGCCGACTTGGATGTAGGGGAGTTGAATATCCATCCTTGGCTTCCTACAGACTTGATTAATGTTGGTCTGTTATTATTAGCCATCAGCTGCAGCTAGCAATTCAAGGCTAACGTCACGTTAATGATCATAAACAACGTAAATAAATAAATAAATCAGAGGGGGGTGGTTTGGTATAGATACTTTTGAAAATGAGTATCGTATCCGGATACAACGTTTTAGCATCGATACTTTTGAAAATGAGTATCGTATCCGGGTACAACGTTTTAGTATCGATACTTTTGAAAATGAGTATCGTATCCGGATAAAACGCTTTAGTATCGATACTTTTGACAGCTCATGTCGGATGTTTTCCCGGAGAAGGGAAGGGCGTCTCCGGACTGGTATCCGGAATCAGAGCGGGTCATCGGTGAAGGTTCAGTGGGATCCTTCTCTGAAGTGGACGCCAACCAGATGTTTACGGAGAGGCCTGTCATTAGCCACGACCACATGCTGCCAAAGCCTCTACGTACAGTACGTGCAGAGAAAGTCCCGTTTCGTGAAGCGGGGCTTCAAACGGGAACTTCCCCACACGGAAGAGTCCGGATCCTCCCGGGATCCTGGGATTCGGAGGCCCTTTGGAAGTGTTACAATCTGGCTATAATTGCTCACTTTAGCACTGTATGCTATTGTTAACCCGATTCTTTAGCTGGAAACCTGAGAATAAACCAGAGTGGACCAAAAGTACAAAAATAACATTTATTGGGTCACAGTTGGCTGCCACTCATTGGCTGCCAAAGACGTCTATAGACGTCTTTTATGTTTTTCAACGAGAGTGGCTAGGGGACGATCTGCTAAAGCTTTGCCATAAATATCAGGCTTCTAGACAGAGTATGTAGTAACAAATTGATCCTCTAGGGGGCAGTGCCACTTTTGATGGGAGATGAGCATAGACTGTAGGCAAATAAGAAAAAGGTAACGGTTCGCTATCAGAGAACATGTCGCCGGTGAGACGCAAGTCCAGGAAGAACGGAATTAGGTAGAAAGAAATTTTATTTCCTGATGAAAGAAGAGAGTCTACTCTTTCTTTTGGTGTGTTCGGTGTTTACATAGTCATAGCACAAACTATTCTGTGGCTCTTGAAAAATCAGTCAAAATGTTGGGCTCTAACAGACGAAAACCTCTCTCTGGGTCTCAGTGGGCAAAGAGCCCTGAGATCTGGGTGATGGGCATTATCTCCTGGGCTCGATCCACCTCCTCAAAGGAGGACTGGACACAACCAAGTCCTATTGGCCAGTTACCTCTGGGCAGGAACAGGCCAGGTCCTAATTCATGCAGATGACAGGAATGTGGTAACAAATGGTGTGTTTGTGTGTTTACCTAAAGGTGGATCTAATGCAACAGAGAGAAAAAAAGAGAGAAAAGAGAGTCTGTGGACACAGCCAGAGACTTTAACACAAAAATATAGTTATAAAAAGAATTTAAAAATCAGTAATTAACATATATTATGTTATAGCATACTGTGCTAAAGTGAGTCATTTTAGCCAAATTCTAACACTATCACATAATCTATGTAAATTACTTATTGTCTTATTCCTTTCCCTGAGTAATATAGAGGGAATAGTATAAATCTAAAAAGGAATAAGACATCAGTCATTTACATGGATTAAGTTATAACATACTGTGCTGAAGTGAGTAATTCTAGCCCAATTCTAACACCTCCCTTCTAGCAAATCTATTCTTTGGACTTATTCTTTTGTCAGATGGATGTGTGATGCTTTTCTTTTCTTTTATTGAAAAAACTAGATATACGCTGAATGGATCACTAAGTTTTATGTAACATGGCGTTTTTTTTAAAATTATTTTCTGTATTTTTCTGTCTTGTTTCTGTTTTAAAATGAAAATGAAAAAAGCTAAATAAATATTAAATTAAATATAAATATACTTTGCTAAAGTGAGTAATTATAGCCCGGTTCTAACACGGGACTGAACAGGGTTTGATATCTGCAGCGGCCAGCAGACGGCAGCATTGCATGCTGGGAAAGAGTTCGGTCTTTCTCCAGTCACAACAGGTTTTGCAGCACAGACACACACAAACACAAACACACCCCAACCCAAAACCCCTCAAACGGGAACCTCTAGCCTCGCTAATCCGTCCCCTCTCTGTTTTCTGTGTCTTATCACCACACTTTTATGCTACCAGACAGGATATGGTGTCTGGAAAAAGGTTGAAAATAGCAGCAAGTCTGTTTTTACATAGAGAACTGCAGAGGAAGGAGGGAGATAATGACAGAGCAAGATCATGAAAGATGGTCTGAGAGGGAATTCCACATTTTCTGCAGGTAAAATAAAGGGATAACTGCATTTAACTGCATTTTACTGGAGATTTGGCCTTTATTTGGCCTTTATTTATTAAGTTATGGGTGCAAAACTTTGGGATGGGACATGGAAAAGGTCATTTTCTGTAGTCCAGACTGCAGAGATGCAACTTTCCCCGCAGAAAAATGAAGAAACGTAGACGTTAAGCCTCTTTAAACTCGGGCAGAAACGTGTCTGAGTCTGTCTGTCTGCTCTCTGAAAACTGCAAAAAATGCCAAATTTGCAAAAATTGCTAATTATTGCAAAGAAAAACCTGATTTTGTGGCCGTTGATTTTTGAACCAGACTCAAAAATAGAAGGAAATGTATGGAAATTTTGAGTTTTGAGTTTCAGGTTGGCGGCTTTTCCAGTTTTAAACGTCCAGTCTGCTGTTTTTTTCAAATCTAAATTAATGCCGAACTCAGTTCTTCTTCGTCTTCTTCTTCTTACATAACTAAAGATTTCACATTATCAGAAATATTTCAGAACAGATTAACCAAACACCTCCAGAGTGAGAGGGCTAACAGCCTTTGTTTGCTTCGTTCGGAGGTCTTTCTTCGCCTTATTTTCGGGATTTCCTTGATTCTTTCTCACAGTTTGGAGCTTAAAAAAGGAAAACAGAAAGCAGAGAATAGATAAACAGCCTCCGATAACAGACAAGGGGTCGGGGTTAATGAACGATCCCATCTCTGGGAGTGTGTGAGAGAGGCGTAAATCTGCTGTAAACTGCGGATTAAATGTGTGTTTTTATGGCCAGTGTGTGAGCAGACAGCCTTTCTTTTGTTACTGATGGAGCAGGACCATCCCAGAACCCGACCCACACAAAGGAGCTAATTATTCACAGGGTTGTTTCTGTTAGAATCGGGCTATAATTACTCCCTTTAGCACAGTGTGTTATAACTTAATCCATGTAAAGGACTGATTGTCTTACTCCATTTTGGATTTAGATTATTCCCTTTAGTATGATACTTTTGGGTTAAATTCTCTAATCCTCCTCTTCCTCCTATCTTTTTTAATTTTAATTTTAACCTCCTGAGACCCTGTGTCCTCATAAGTGGACGTTGCATTTTTGTCTCTCTTTACCATGATACTTCTTTTTTTCTTTCAGCTTTGACCTCTTGACCTCATAGCAGATGCTATCAGACAGTGTTTGAAATCTAAAGTAAAATGGTTTTATACATTTCCATCCAATCATGTTCTTATTGTGTAATAGAAAAACTGTAAATGAGTCAATGGGACTGTCAGAACAAAATTGTAAAAACATTTAAATAAATATGTATCTCATATATCTTTAAAAAAAAAGCTAAAATGCATGCCAAATAAAAGCTCGGGTCTCAGGAGGTTAAAACAGAAACGAGACAGAAAAACCCTAAATACAGAAATAATAATAAAAAAAGCCATGTTACATCAAACTTCTGACTTACATCTGACAAAAGAATAAGTCTAAAGAATAAGCCGACGTGCCAGAAGGGCTATAATTACTCACTTTAGCACAGTATTTTATAACTTAATCCATGTAAATGTCTGATTATCTTTTTCTTTTTACATTTATACTATCCCCTTTAGAATGATACTTTTGGGTTAAACTCTCTGGCTGTGCCTCCTCCTCCTCTCTCTGTTACGGTAGATACTCGTCTTTAAGGTCAATATTCACATTTTCTTATCATATTCCACTGAAACCTGCATGAATTAGGACCTGGCCTGTTCATGTCAGAGCTAACTGGCCAATAACACTCGGTTACGTCCAGCCGTCCTCCTGTTCGAGGCCCAGAGGAAAACTGTCCATCAGACCCGGAAATCGAGAATAAGTACAAACAAGTTTAGCCTAAAAACATTTATTTCTCACAATTATGAAGGGTGGAGGGTCAGGGTTAGGGTTAGGACATCCTTTGTCTTCCGATTTTGTAAAGACAGTAAAGTTTCGTTTCCACCTCAGAAAGCTGCTAGTCACATGACCTAATCAAAATGGCCGACTTGGATATGGGAGGAGTTGGATATCCATCCTTGGCTTCCTTCAGACTTCAGCCAGAGGCTGCTCCATTTAGGAGGGATTCGTTATTCCAGAATAATTTATCGGCATCAGATAAAAATCTGCTGAGGTCACCTGAGTTTCTCCTCCACCTGTTTGAGCCGACTGGAGTCTTCTTCTGTGGTGAAATGGTGGCAGCTGTTGCTGGGTGAACAGAGCCCATTGGGTTTTATCCTGGGCTCTTTTTTTTTTTGCCTGGCAAAAGGGGCCCGTAACCCAGATTGAGACGGAGCAGCTTTACTGGAGCTAACCGAGAACACATTAGACACCAGGCTGCATTCTTTGCTAATCCAAATGTTAAATCTGCATTTTTCTAGTGTTTCCCACTGTTTAAAATGTGCCTTCAGATCCCAGCCTGACATTTTTCTGTCATTTCAAAAGCTGGAAGGGAGAAAAATGATCTTTTTTTATTATCTTAAAGTCAAATTTTTAATCTAAAACATGATAAAAGGCTGAAGTAGGAGCTCAGAGAGTGGATGTTTGTTGGTCATCTTAAGGGGAAAATGTGTAAGAGTTAAAGGGAATGGAGATCTCATCAGATTGGTTCACTCTGTCGTGTGTCTGCTGCTTATCTTTAACCCCGAAATTAAATTATACATTCATGGGCAGAAGGGAAACTCTTGAAAAAGCTCAGGGGGATTTTTTTTCTTTTTTTTCCTTTTTAGCCGAAGAGAATTAAAGAGGAATAAGAAAATATCTATTCTGCTTTTGAACTCCGGTGACCTCATCGTGACATCATTTTGTCCTCCGGTTTATTTCAAAGGAAACATCTGAATTCATGTTTGAAGAGTGTTTTCAGTCCTCTCTGTGAACAGGGACACAACATAAAAGGAGCCAAGGCTGAATTTCCATTGAGGTCCGCACGTTGAAAACCACCTCCAGCTCAAAAAACACGATGAATTTTAGTTCCTGGGAGATAACCGCTCCTCTATCTTCGGTCTAATTGGTTCTAATTGGTCATTTACTGGGATGATTTGATCTCTATTCAGATACTAAATAAGTCCCATTGGTCTCAGGTGCCGACTTGCTCTCATCCTCTGTTTTTTCTTTCTTCCTCGTGTTTCCATCGAACAGGAAATAGATGCAATGGTTGAATAAAAACATCTGCCTGAGCTCAGCCTCTCCTCCCTGTTTCTGATGGTTTCCATTTCTGATTCAGCCACCAGGAGATGATCAGCTATCAGCTGGATCTGTTCCTCTTTCTGATCCCTTTCAGATCCTCTTCATATGCTTTTCAGGCCCAACGTTTCTTCTTTTGGCCCTTTGACTCCAAATCTGAGAAAAACCCTGTCACGTCTGGGGGAATGTCTGGTGTCTCGTCATGTCTTGATTACCTATTGTGTTCACCTGGGGTTCCCCCCCCTCATGTGTTTAAATAGTCCTCGTTTCCCATGTCCTGTGCCAGTGTGTTTTCGTCTTTCTGTTCTCGTCGCCCTTCGCCACGTAAGGTTTGATTTTTGTCACAGCCATGCCATAGCCTTGTTTACCTTATTGCCATAGCCTTTGTTTTTGCCACAGCCATGTTAATCTTGTTTGTACTTTGCCATAGCCAAGTTTTTTGTCATAGCCATGTTTTGCCACAGCCTTGCCACAGTTTTGTTAATCTTGATTTGATACTTTGCCATAGCCTTGTTTACTTTAGTTGATACTTTGTGTTCACAGTCATGTTTAATCCTGATTTGATACTTTGCCATAGCCTTGTTTACCTTATTTGATACTTTGTGTTCATAGTCATGTTTAATCTTGATTTGATCCTTTGTTCATAGTTTTGCCACAGCCTTGTTTTTGAACCTTGTCCTGTCATCCACTCTCTTGAGTGCGTTTTTGTTAAAATAAACCTTTTTCACGAATCTCCGCAACTGAGTCCTCCCTCCAAGATCCACCCCCCCTGACAAACCCGACTCCAGGTTTCTTGGTTTTTAATGGTTTTAAAGCTGGTGCAAACTTCTCCTCAGGGGTTCCCAGTTCTTGTGGAGTTTCATCGGATCAGAAACTGAACCAACATTTGAACCGATGCCTTCATGAACAGATCAGAAATGTTTGTAAATTGAGTGTAAAAGGGTTAGATTTCATGGTCATTATTCATTAAGACCTTTCGTTTGTGAAGAACTGAGCGATGGTGTTTTAGATCCTTCATTCTGAGCATTTTGAACTCTAAAATCTGTGAACTTCCTCAGATTTTTTCAGGACTTGCTGAACACCAGTTGAGTTCTGCCCAGTTTCCAGCAGCAGCTCTTTGGGAATCCTCGGAAATCCTGTTTCCTGTCTGTCAGACTGGGTTTAATTTGGCCTTTTTCCCCCATCAGATTCAGAAATGGAACAAATGATGTGTCTCTTTGAGCCTAAAGATCCACTTTAAGCTGAGTTTCCTGAGTTGGACACCAATGCTGGCTCATCCCTTGAGTTAGAGGCCCCTTTTCTGGCTAAAAAAAAATAATTAAAACTGGGCAAAACATTTGCGAAAATCTCTGAAAGACCTCAGAAATCCTGTTTCCTGTCTGTCAGACTGGGTTTTCTTTGGCCTTTTTCACCCATCGGCTACAGAAATGGAACAAATGATGTGTGTCTTTGAGCCTAAAGATCCACTTTGAACTGAGTTGTGTGTGTTGTAATCCCATTCATGTGTTGGGTAACTTTTCCACTGAAAATAATCAGCAGCACAAACTGAAAATGAGGGAAAAAGCTGAATATTCTGGCTCTTTCTTCCTGTGAACATCTCTAACTTGGGTTTAGTCCTCGTCTTCGGTGTCCTGAGCTGCTTTTGTGGTGTTGTCCTTCTTTTCCGTCCTCTCTGACCTGGCTGCTCAGGAAAATGGCCGCCCCTCTCGGTTCTGGTTTTATTCCCTCTCAAAAGGAGCATTTTAACTGGCTCTGTTTGTGTTGGATGTTTTCCAAACTTAATGAACTGGAACGCATTGGATTTTGATTGTGTTACCGTGAATTAAATCAACCTTTTGAAGTGTCTGGAGGTGATTTTTTTAATTAAGCTGAATTGAATTGGAATATTCTGAAAGGCCTTCAGGGACCTGGAGAACTATTGTTGGAGAAAAGCATAAAAAAAGATCACAGGTCACTAAAAGAAAAGCAGAGAAACGACACGTGGATCAGGGCCTGAACAAAAAACACTTCAGAAATCACCTCGAAATGTGAACCTCACTGGCAGTAAAATGTTTAATAAAACACGTAAAACAATCATGAGGGATTTTGGATCTTTAAGCTCATGTAATGTCTTGGTCATTTTTAGATGGTCTTGCTTTAGTTTTTTGTCCTCTTCTGGGTTCATGGACACTTTATTACGCCCCCCCGATACACCTACACACACATACACACACCTACACACCTACAAACCTACACACATATACACACACCTACACACCTACACACACCTACACACCTACACACACACCTTCATACACCTACACACACATACACACACACACACCTGCATACACCTACACATACATACACACACCTAGGTTGGGATGGACTTTGAATTAAGACTTTTTTTCTAGAAATTAGGTTTGGAACTGGTTGCCTGAGTTGTGTTTGCCCAGGTTCAATAAACATGAACCTGGCTCAACCTCCTCATCACAGACCCTCAGGATCTCCTTCTTCTTCTCTTCTTCATCTTCTCCTTCCTCTTCTTCTTCTTCTTCTTTTGGAGGCTTTTCAAACAGCATCACAGGAGATTTTCTCTCCACAGACCAGATCGAAATCGTCTCTCCACAAAACCTCCATCTCATCGTCTCCCCCCGTCAGACCCTTAACGAATCAATGCAAGCGCCACACAAACGCTTCCTCTTCCTCTTCCTCTTCCTCTTCCTCTTCCTCTTCCTCTTCCCGACCCCAGAGTGGCGTCCGGGGTCAGGAGGTCAAAGGTCAGAGCAGGGTCAAAGTGTGAGCTAATAAAACCAGAGCGGCTAGCTTATCAGATCCATCCAGCTGTGAGTGTGTGTGTGTGTGTGTGCGTGAGTGTGTGTGACTGTGTGTGTGTGTGAGTGTATGTGTGTGTGAGTGTGTGAGTTTGTAAGTGTGTGGGGGGAGTTGGTTATCTGTGTGCACATGTTTGCGCATTTAGAAAAAAAATTATTGATCGTGTAACAGAGCCAAAAGCCTCGGCCATTGATCTGCCCCCCCCCACACACACACACAGACACACACACAGACACACACACACACACACACACCCCCACGGCCGGATCGAACATGATAAAACCATTAACCCTCCGGTTAGAAGTTCAAGGTTCAGCTCCGTCTGCGGAGAGAACAAAGGACCCGTCGGTTTTTGGGTTTTAGGCTCCGCCCGCTTTTCCCGGAGAGTTTCTGGATTTCTCTGTGGACATTTTGAGGGTTAATCTGATTAATTAAGACGCAGATCTGCGTCGATGACCTTTGAACCCATCGCAAATCTTTTGTGTTGCCATTGATTCTGACCACCGGCCTTTTGGAAGAACTAGACCTTGAACCAATATGGCGGCTTTCAAGATGGCCGCCGTTGCCCGTTTCCCACTGGAGTGTTCAGATATGCCATTACCCCTTTTGTTTCCGATATAAAACATGATTTATATTTATACCAAATAAAAAACCGGGCCATGGCGGAGATACACAAAAGTTAAACCGACTAAACGAAACCTTAAATGTTAACAAACTACGAAAAATGAGTTCACATGAAACAGAACAAACCGAACAACAGACTGTAGAAAAGCGGAGGCCTTAAACTTTGAAGGTAAATAAATCTGTAGATGGGAACAGTGGATCTAATAACTGGAGCTGGGCAGCTTTAAGAGAACTAAAGACGTAAAAACAAACAGCAACTCATCACCGTGAACCTGAAAGAGCAGAAACAATAAAGAAAACGACAAACAGAATAAAAACAATAAAGGAATAAAAACAAAGAACAGAAAAAATAGTCCAAATCCCCCAAAAAACAAGCAAAAAAAACAACAACTCTTCATTAATTTGCCCTCGTTTTCATGTTTGTGCTGTTTAATGTGCGACAAGTGAGGCAGATCAGACAGGAATGAACCTCTGGCTGCATCTGGAACAACAAACTGAGCGTAAACGATCCAAAAACAAAGAGACAAAGAGGCAAACGTCTGCTCTCCGCCCAAGTGTGAGCACTCAGAGCTCCTCCTGACAGATTGTGATGATATATCCAGGGGGGGGGTTGGTGTTTGCATGATGGATCCATGATAAATAAACCCAGAAACTGGGAGGAGGAGGATTCCCGATTCTGTTTCTTTTCTTTTCTGTTCACACATGGCCGGCTAGCTAATAGCTCATTTACTCTGTTTGTGCCTGCTGGCAAGGTTGTGCTAAATTGTGCATATTACTCTCTTT